AATGTGTATGTGTTTGAGAGAAGGAGACAAAAAGCACAAAAGGAAGTCACAGCATGTCAGGGCAGCGGCAACATGCAGCCGTGATATTGAGATAACAAGAGTGTTGCAAAGGGAGAGAAAAAACTGTTCGGAACAAAGCGGCTCAGACACCCCGCAGAAGATTTTTGCATTCATTTATTTTAGGATGGTGCTGAAATGGAGTGGCATGCTGCCAGAGACGAGCTCTAGTCTTTGCGAGTGTGTGTAAGAGAGAGTCCCTTCATCAGATGTATCTTACAAAGTGAGGACAGAATATTTTCCTGCAGCCTTACATTTAATATTTGAAGCAAACCTGCAGAAATTGACTGATTAAAAATGATTATTATTCTGCTGGGGAGAGGATGAGTAATGCTTCACCCTGTGCTAGAGCTGGGGATGTGCACAGTAGCATTCCTCTTACTGCAATCTACCCGGAGCTCTGCTGTAATCGAAGAATCTGCCCCACCTGGTAACACACAGGCTTTTACAGCCATAACAGATCATGTACTTATCATGCATGGAGCTTGCATATAAAGTGGAGTACACTGCTATTGTTGGTCACTGGTTGCAGTATGTATATGTCTCTCAACTTCAAAGTGAGCCTATACTGTATGTATAGTCTAAAGTCCTGAATAATTGATGACACCCAGCACAAAAGTGGTTCGCTTGCTCTGTTGACTTAAGTATGATTGATCCACATATTGCTACCAGAACTACAGAAACCACTCAAACACTATCCTTATCAATTGAGTTTGGCCAATGGCTGTGCATAAGGTGTAAAATAAGATTGCTTATGAGTGGGGGGGATGTTGCTGAAAAAGCACTGAGGAGCACTTATAAAGGTACACGCCATTAAGCAGTGCACAAGATGCACTGAACGGGCAGCCACTCTGTGACATCACACCGCCAAAGAGGGATGGCTTAATTAAACTTTCATCCGACAAATATTCATGTGCGTTTAATGATCCTGAATCACTTCATTCCACATGAATTATGAATATTAATGAACAGGAGGGGAAGGGCAGTGGAAGGATGTGCTGTGTAGGTTGGTGCCTACGGCAAGCGTGGGTGTTGGAGAAGGCGGATGTGTCTAGCCACCAGTCAATCTCTTCATATTTCAAGTAAACCCTTCAGGCCAGAGGTCATTATTGCAAGTGAGCTTGCAGTGTGCATTTATGTGTGTCTATTTCTCTATTTACAGTCCTTCACTGCCATAAGATCTGACCAGAGCAGGGCTGGCTGCATGGTGGCCTATTTCCAGGGTCCAGTCCTGTCACTTTTCTCACTGTTCCATTAATGCTCACTGGCTGCCATCTTGCCCTTGAGCATTGCTCTCATTTTGTCGTGTTTTCTTCTCCCTCTGCTAATTAAAACAATGCAGCCAAGTCTCATGTGCAGGCATCCAAAAAACCTCGTCATAAAAGCAGGAACTAATGCACTAATGTTAATGAAAAAGAGTCTGGGATGCAATGAGTTTTTGTGCAAATGTGCATACCGCTGTTTCATATTTTCTTTCTGTAATTGCTTTAAAAGGATAATAGATTGAATGTCAGGCACATTTGTCAGTTTGTTAACTACATTTAGCTTTTGCAGGCGAATGCACACATGTTCAAAACTAATGAATACTCAAATACGTATTTATCGTTACATGTGACAGGGGCCTGTGTTGATTACATGACATATAAGATCATTCAGTCAGCCGTCAGCATGCTTCATTTGTCTGTTCTGGAATAGCATTGATGACAAAAGAGGGAATTCGTAAATGCATAGTCATACTTGGGCCGGCTGATTTTCTCACAGGAATCTTCTACTTTAAATAAAAAGCACAACAATACCACCCTCCTTACAAGCCATTTATAGGCCTTTAATGTTATTAGAAAGCCAGAAGTGGGCTACAGGCTAAAAGAGAAACATGAAAAGAGGATATTCCTATGACAATCGGATCCAATTCCCTTCTCCGCATTTTTTTTTTTTAAAGGAAACTCTTTTAAATTCTGTTTTTCTTTTTTTTTCTTCCACAGTGCAAAGCAACCATCTGACATCCCCACAGAGATGAAGGCCTCACTAAAATAACTCTGGTATAAGGAGCATCATCAGATCAATGCTGCCATCTACTGCTACTTTTTAGCCATAACCTTATGTGCAGTCATTGAGATACTGGATGACGTGGTTATAATCCAAAGGTTAAATGGATTTTTTTTAAATGTAAGAAAACAAAAATAATAATAAATTAATTTTAAAAAATGCAGTAACACATGGTGCATTTCTGTACAGTTTTTACTGATTCAGCATGTCCTCTTGCCTTCCAGCTCCCACACTATATACTTTGTCCTTTGGAACCACTTTTTAGTGCTTTTCTGAAAGCCTTCCAATGGTTATAAAAAGGGGGAAGAAATACATCAGGGAGATGTATGGGCTAACGGCAGTAAGGTACCCAAAAATAGGCTCAAGGCTTCAGTCATCAAGTAGTATAGTGCACAGGTGTTGTTTTATGGTGTGGGCTTTTTACTGCTTTCATTGCAACCTTGCACCATTTTGAGTCATAAGCATTTAGTGGGAAAGTGCCAGAACATCCAATACGTCAAGTGTTAACAACTACGTACAACAGCAAAGGGCCCGAAAGACATGATGACAGCCAGTGTTTTCATATTAAATTACAGCGTTTATTGCTATGTGAGTAATTTAAGTTATAGAAATGGCACCTTAAGTGGAATAAATGTCATAGAGGTTGTAATGCATGGATTCCTTTTAAATGGCGGAGCAGTCCACTTTGAACTTGAAAGAGCAGAAACGTAAAAAAAAAAAAAAAAAAAGACTTGTAAGCCACCCGTTTCTTTTACTTCAGCTTTTGCTTGGTACAGAGTCCTTGATGATGTTACCAGGCATGAAGGAGAGAATCATTATAGTTTAGAATGATCAAATAAATATGGGGGATTGACACAGAGGACCCGCTGATTAGAGTGGAAGTCAAGCCTTTCATGCTGCTTGCTTGACCTCCACACTTGATGATGTAGACAACACCAGAGGAACTTGGTTCTAGGTGCTTGAGTCACTGACCCAGTCACAGCTAGTCAGATGACAAAGGGATCAGTCTATAAAGACCAGGCTGTGAAATAAAGTGAATAAATTAAATAAGAGAACAGAAGTAAGAAGAAATTACCAATGCAGGTTTTTTTTTTTTTTTTTTTTTAACCCTAGAACACTATCGCTGGGTGATTTTGACCCGACCAAACATGTTTACATGATTTTCACTATGTTGCTTTTGTCTGAGTATCATGGATCCCTGGGTAGCTTCAGCATTGCCTTTGACATATTTGAAGGCATATTTGTTTCCCTGATCCAAAACACGCTTTTTCCTACAGGCCAATTTTCGGGTGATTTTCACCCGGTATTGGTGCTAGAGGGTAGGTAGGTTTGGGTGGATTTGATAGCTGCACGTAGGGAATAAGGTCAGTAAGAGTAATCCTGGAATTCACATTCTATCTTTATTACAAATAACTATCACAAGGTAGTAATTTTCAAGGGTATTCATATGGTGATAAGAAATATTTTAGTCAGCTGGTCATTTTTACTCACTCAATATATGTCACATTTTGGTTCTCTCTCCTGCAGCTGTTATTGTGCCAAGGACCCTGAGTCTTCACCGGAGAAGACTCACATGCCCCAGGAATGGGTGGAAAAGAAAGTAAGTTTACAGTTTCTATATGTTTTTTTTTCTTTAGGAATTTTTTGTTCATGAATGCCTAATTTCAGTTATTTTGTTGCATTTTATATGGTCCCCTCATGGCACTTTTTTTTCCCTCCCTTTGAACATTGCACAGTTAAAAATAGAAAAAAAACTACTTTAATTTGTCATGTCTTGTTCTATTTTGATGACAAGGACTTTTTCTTGGGTATATTATATCAGGTAAAAATCACCCGGCGATAGTGGTGGTGTTACTAATTTTAGCGATAGTGTTCTAGGTTTAAGTAAGATTAGCTAAAGCCAGATGTCAGTGCAAGTATGCAAAATAATAATAATAATAATAATAATAATAATAATAAAATGTGTACATTGTGACATTAAAAGAATGATTAAAATGATAGCCAGACAGTCCACAGAGCAGGTGGTCTGTGCATGACTGCTAACTGAAATGCATGAAAAAACTACCCTTTTTCTCTATCTTCTCTAATAAGTATTTTCCAGTTTCCTACTTGGTAAGGCCTTTTTTTGTACACCTTGTAGACTCTGAGTCATAACAACAAACATGTTTGGCTAAAAGCAGACATATGATTGCACTTGATATATAAAAAAAAGGTTTGGCTGAATGTAGACATATAATTGCACTTGATATCGAAAAACATAAATTGATTATTAAAAAAATAAAATGCTTGGCTAAAGTAGACATATAATTGCACTTGATATAAAAAACAAAAATTGATTATGAAAAAAGTTTTTTTTTTTTTTTAATTTTAAAAAAGAAAAAAAATGTGTAAAGCTTTTTTGGTTGGTTGCTTGACTAGGACCACTGCTGCACCTGCCAAAGACCAATGTACATGTAGCAGTCATAACCATTGTACATAAAGTCTATCATGACACCATGGGCACTTTGTCAACCTTTCAAAAAGCTTTATTTTCATTTTCTGTCAATGTATTTAGATAAGATAAAATTGTTCTTTCAATATGTTCATTTAAGCTGTAGTGGGTATGGGTATGGGTAATTTTCTTAAGTGCATTTACACTGAAAGGTGCTCCTAATGTTTGGTCCCCCCATGTTTGTCAGTGAAGTACACAGGCAAACACCTTTTACTCCGTTAGCTACACCACCACCACCTACTGTGTTTTCCAAAAAAAGATGTAAAATGCAGTAGTCACCTGTATAATCGTGTAGAAACAGAAACTGAAAATGAAGAAGCCACCTGGTCGAACTTGCTGGATTGCATTGGTTGCAAACATCCCCGGTGCTTTATTGTGTTGTATATTGGCGGCTGTGAATTACGACAGGAGATCAAGAGTTACGGCATCTCGCTTTGCGACAGCCGAGGCCTGCCGTCTGTATTTAGCTTCGTACCTGCTAATAGACGTTAGCGTAACCACCGTGAGGCGAGTATCGATATCTGCTGGAGTACAATGGGAATAGAGGATGAAACTGATCGGACGCTCTTCATAAGAAATTTAGATCAAAGAGTAACGGAGGAGCTTTTGTTTGAGTTGTTTTTACAGGTAACGTTTTCACACACGTTAGAAAAATACGTTAGCAAGTGACAAGATAGCATCCAAACAAACACAGGCTAGTGCTATAAAACGAAAGCGAATATGTGAGGAAATACCGCTTTAAACGTCTCGGTTATGTGGTTAAAGACGTAATTTTAAACATTCTTGTGTCGTTTTGGCTAAGGTTGATTTTACACTTGATGTATACATCTGCAAAACGATGCTCTTTATCCAGTCATCTTTAGTGCAGCTAACGCTAGCTAGCTGTTTAGCTTTAGCAGGTGGTTGTCTGGGTAACACTCACCGATTGCTTTTTGCTTTCCAGGCAGGACCTCTCATCAAGACTAAAATCCCCAAAGACTCTGATGGGAAACAGAAAACTTTTGGTTTTGCTGTATATAAACATGAAGTGTCCGCGCCGTATGCCGTCCAGTTACTGAATGGAACAAATCTGTTTGGGAGATGTCTTCATGTTCAGTTCAGATCAGGTCAGTTTACCTCAATGTTTCAAACGCACTTGTTCAGGTAAAAATGTCTCGCTCTATTGTATATAGCTTTTCTTGCAAATATTCCTCTGACAGAGTTGTACATATCTGTTCTGGTTATTCTTCCTAGGTTTTTAAGGGTACATAATGTAAACTGTATTCAAACAGTTGTAGTAATAGTTGGTTTCCATTTCCTTATCACAGGCAGCAGTCATAGCAACAGTCCGGGGAATTCACAGAATACAAGTCCAGCAAATACACCAAATCCCCATGGTCAGAGGTAAGGATTTTCAATCAACAGTTTGTCTGAAAAGCGAAAAAATGACAGTGTTTACAACAGGGTGACGGTATACTAAAAGGGGCTAGAGGGGTGGGAGTCTGCAAATTAAGATCCATCCATCCATCCATTTTCTACTGCTGGTGCATATCCCAGCATCTGTGTCGTGCACTGGAAACCTTATAAATGGCAGCAGTGGGGAAATTTTCGGTAAAGTTGTTAAGATATTCACAGATTTGGACCTCCAGGATCAGTAATGCTGAGATGAAATGTTGTCTAAACACAAATGATGCCTCTTTCATGTCGCAATAGCACAGACTATTAGCTATGAGAATCAAAAACAGATTTCTTTTACAAAAAAAGCCGTTCTTCGAGCTGGATGAATAATACTGATCTGTATGTGCATGTGGGCGAGAGTGCAGGGATCGTCTGCAAATTACGACACAAGAGCAAGACTCTGCAAACAAAAATCAATATCCCCGCTATAATATAGTAGAGACCTGAAAATCACCTCACTCACCAAGGGACTCTTCATACTACAACAGCTGTTTTAGGAAAATGTGCCTTTTTATAATTTTGGTGAATTTTTGTTGTTATGAATCATAAATGTCTTCCAAAATTAATCAATAGCTCGACTGTCATATCATGTGTGTCCCATCCCACCCCTCCAAAAAAAATTTTCAGGCACAGGATTTTTTTCTGCTTCCAGCTCTGTAAAACAAGCCTTGTTTCTACAATGTTCAATCTATGATAACCTGATCAGCCTCGCTTTGGGAAGGCTGATCACTTCTTGCTTTCTGTTTACTTTATGTGCACTCATAAGTACAACAGAACAACTCATTTGTTTTATATACAGTTGTCTGTATGTTTTGATTGATGAAGTGACGACTTAACTAGGAGTCTGTTGATTCAGAGGTACCAACGTAAGTAAAGCAAGAAAAGTGCCTGCTGGGATTTTAATTAACTTTTTTCAGAACTCTTGAGACAGAACAATGCTTAAGGTTACGTGATTAATCAATTTCAATTACAATTTTTTTCCTCCCAGGTATATAGAAACAGAAGAATTGAGTTTAGTCAGTTGCTTTGCTGCCTGTCATGTTGTGCCGGCTTTTTCCTATGCAGCGAATAGAGCACACCCATTTTTTCTTCTTCACAGCAGAGTATGAGCTCTGTGCCTTCCTTCAAACAGCTTTCGTTCATCATTAAGAGCTCAGATTGAAATACAACAGAATCTGGGAGCACAAATGTGCCTAATAGTGTGTTAATTAGGGACTGATTGAAGTGGAGACAGGAGAGGAGCAGGAGGAGGCAGGTGTACCTGTGTGTTTGGAAAGTTGAGTAGAACATGGCCTGAAAGAGTGTAGTGATCCTAAAGCTGTGAAAATGCTTGCCCAGTAAGCTTTTACAGTCAACTCTGAAGCTGCAGAAGTCCAGTCAGATAGATAGGCAGGCATCTGCACTCATAAAAATAAAAAATAGTCTTTAATAATCCTCTTTTTATCTTTATAAATAATTTTTTTCAGGGCTCTGAATTTTTATGTTTTACATGTGTTAAATACTGGAAATGCACATGCTGCAGATCACACGAATCATGAGTAATCAAATCGCAGGCTTACGATCTCAGTATCTAACCAAATAATCATGATTATGACTTTTGCTATCATCAAGGCACCTTGATGTTTACTGCAGAAAGTCTCTGTAATATTGTGTCCCATATCAGTATCCATTTAGGGCTGCTTCTTCTACCTTTGAACCATCTAGTTCCTTCTGCAGGGTTGTTCGTAGGCTTGGACATATTTGGGCTTCCAGATATTTTTTTCTGTTTGTAAATAACTATCTTCTTTTTGCTCTTCTAAAGAGTTGTGCTAGAAAACATTTCTACTTGAAAATATTGGTAGTATCACACTATTACAATTGAATTTAGTATTACATTTTGTGGCACGTGGATTGTTCAACAAGAGTGGAAAAGGCTATTTTTGTTATGAACCTTAAAAGCTGCTCAAACTTGCTTAATTTAAATTATCCCCTGTTCTTTGTAGCCGCTGTTCTCCCCTCATATCTGTTTGAAATGAAACTGTCATGCTCCAGATTCCCAGAATAACCATACATTAGCAGTCATGATCTGAAGCACCTCAGTCTCTATGAATGTATTTTGTCAGGTAATGGATTTCATTTACTAGCTATTGGGTGAAAGGAAAGAAAATAACACCATTATTTGTCATGCGTAACACTCGAGCTCCAGACTAAAATAGATATAAAGCCCCATAAAGCACTCAACAGCTGGGCCTAAGGGAACATAGACACAACAGTGAGGGTTCCTCTGTCAGTCTTAGAGTTCCTGGAAGTTTGTGGTATGCTGATTTTTTTTTTTCTTAACTTAACTGAGGTGTTATATCTCTGAACGTCGTTTTTATGCCTTCTCAGAGAAAGTTTAAAAAGTGATTTCTTTAATAACCTTAAAAAAAGTGTCTCACACAACTATAACTAATCATGACTGAAAATAATCATTATCTTTGGTCAGGAGCAGAACATAAACAAACAAAATAAATGAAAAATGTACTTTGTATGTAATGCAACTTCTTTGTATTTCTAAAGGCCAAATTGAATTATCAACACAACAATATTCAGAGTTTATCGTACTAAAGTTTGTCATGTTTTCAGTTGTCTGAATGTTGTTCTTTTTAATTGTTTGTATTGTGTGTTTAGACCTTTTGAAAGGACATTTATAGCTCAAGTAAATGTTACCACAGTAAAATACTTCTTTAATTCAGTTTGATTGCAGTTTACATGTTGATAATTTTGCTGTAATTCACTTCTGTTGCTGCTCAATGAAATGACTATGAATAAGTAATTTACACTGTTGGATTGAGAACGGATATTCTTTGTGTGAGGACCGTGTTTGTAGATTCATGTGTACACTGTGTTTGACTCAGAGATGTTGAACAGTGGCATTTTGAGACAACAAATGCTTGGTTGAGTTGAATTGGCTCAACATGATCAAGACTTGCACTGGCCTTTTTTTGTGATGAGTAAAAATATGATTCACTTCTTCCAGGACACCGATCCAGTTCAGCTCTCCACCGTACACTCCTCCACCCCAAATGCAGAGGTCTATCTCATCCCCTGAAAATCTGCAGAAGCATGCCATGGTAAACTCGTCATGCCCTTATGATGATAGAATGAAATTTCTCTTGACAAAGAGGAGGTAGGAATATGTCGTTTGTATGTTTAATCACACAGGTTTTGTTTTCTGTTTCTTCTTCCATCTGCAGATGAACAACATGTGGCAGCTCCACATGACGCAGCTTGAGCAGTTGAACGGCGGCTTTTTAAAGCCCCAGCAGAGGGGACACTCTGGAGGAGGCGGCTCAAGGCATCATGATAACTCCCCCTATCATCGCAGTTCGTCCCAAACAAACAGCGGCGGTAGGAATCACCGATATTCAGAGGAACAAGGTTCCGGACGCCATCATCAATACAGTCAAGGCCGAGACGGCTATCACCATCAGAACGACAGGAGCAGCTCCCGTCACCATGACAGCAGAGGTGGCAGCAGACATCACGACGACAGGGGGAGCAACCGTGGCTACCAGGACAACAGATGGCGACGCTACTGAGACACAGGCAGGGTGTCTTGTCGGGACTATGCTGATTCACAAACCTTTTGGACAGACCTCTTAAAAAAAAAAAAAAAAAAAAAAACATGGATTATGTTGAAAAATTCACACGTATGCTCAGGGATTTTTTGTACATAATCCTGCCAGATTCAATAACTTCTGCCTTGGAGCATTTTTTTTCTTTTTTTACTTTGAATGTGTTTTTAAATTTTTACACTTCTTAAATATGAGCTTTTTCTCATCAATGTCACTAAAATTTGAAGTTAAGAGGTCTAATGTATGAGCAGGGAAAAAAATAAAACAAAACAAATGACTTGTGACATTGTGGAAGATAAAAACAAACACCACGTATATTTAAAAAGAAAAAAAAAGATTTAGGATATTTTTATTTTATGCAAATTGTAATATGAAAGGTGCTGCCAGGTCTTCACAAAACTCTTCAGGTACTCAGCAAAAAAAAAAAAGAACAACTTTGTTAGCTCCAGATTCCACCAGCACTACTACTACTACTTCAACTGCAATAGGGCACCTCTGTTTCTTAATTTTGGATCTTTGTAAAATGGTCTTTGTTTTATTACGATGTATTATTTTTTTTTAATCCTGAGTCTGTAAGACAAACCGTTTTAAACTGGACATCTACATTATGATAAAGCTCCTTTCATTCAGTCCTTGTATTGTCTTTCATCTGCTCACATCACAAGTGTTTGGATCCTGGCTGTTAATCAACAATGCTATTTACAGCTCTCTTGAGTTAGCTATTGTATGTTGATGCTGCATTCCTTTATGCATGGACACACTGGCCTTATCTGCACCTATAAATGGCCCACGTGTAACTAATAGGCTTGTGCAGTGGGTTATGAAGTAATCTACAGGTGGCGCCACACGCATCTTTTTATTGAATCAATTAAGATGTTAAATTTATCTGAGCCACATGATCAGCTCCTACACCTGACCTTTCTATTTAGGATGCTTTCAAGTCTTTACATGGATTTGACACCCATCCTGTTCACTTTACAGCATGCAATTATGTTCAGTGTTGGACACAGAGATATCCTGTTCTCTCTCTCTCTTTTTTTTTTTTTTTCTATCAGAGGAGTCTTAACACCACCCTGACGACTGCACAGGTTTGGGTCAATTTGCGGGAGCAGGCTATTGTCCCATCCCAGAATTAGCAGCATTCTGATCCTTAACATCTCATGTTGCGATCAGCCCTCTCGGCATTGTTGTGCTCCTCTCTCAAAGTGATGATCAAATCCTTTAATGTCCGCGTTGAGGTCATAATCTACCCTTCCGAAAGTGCTTATGCCACTAACAGAGGCCCCCGCGCTCTATCGACAACTATCCCCCAATAAGTCTCCCAGTATCCAAAAGTGGAGTTGCATTTGCACCCTTTGGACTTAAGCTCTGTCTTGCCTGTAATCTTCCGCGGGTCAGATTGCATCCTGATGCTCTCAAATCGCTCTAATAGAGAGTATCCTCTGCTCGGTGTCGGTACTATAGGAAGGCCCTTATTATGCTCCTGTCTGTGGCATAACTCTTTTAATTGGTTGATCTGCCTGGCGTCTCCAACCCTGGAGCGCGCGGATTAGAGAGGCCGCTCGGTAGCCGCTGCTGCTGTGTGTGGACTTTTATAGTCTCCTGAAATGATCCACTTCCAAACATACAGAGACCCTCCCTCTCTAGCTGCCCCACACTGCAGACCACAAGTGTCAAGATGCCTGCAGCCGTGATTCCTGGATCCTGACACCACCTTGGGTTGTTGGGTTCATTGGTGCCATTTTACGCGCTGCGGTCAGAGTTAAAAGGCCTGACTCTTGGGAGTTTTCCAAAACAGGTGAAGATGATATTGTATTCTGTCATTGTAAGGGCTTAAAAGATAATAAAAAAGTTTACTTAGGTGTGATTAACAGGATACAATTTGACTTTTCTGACATTTTAAAATGTCAAAACGTTTAAAGTACGAGCAGAAAAATCATATCCACTCAAAAAAGTTTAAAATAATTAGTCACATAACTTGCATCTATCTATCTATCTATCTATCTATCTATCTATCTATCTATCTATCTATCTATCTATCTATCTATCTATATGTGTATTTCATTTGTTTTTCCCCTCGATCTTGTGCTGGCTTCCCTCACACACAAAGTCATTGTGCTCCACAGCAGTTGTTCTCTTCTCTTCCCCTGCTCTTTGATCGAGCCATCAAACGTGAAAAGCAGCCGAGCTTTCTCATGCAGAGCTCCCATATTTCCTCCATAATCCTTTTACTCTTTGAACGCGGCACTTTTCGGAGGCACAAGCCTCTAGCGAGTGGAAATGTATTTCCAGTTTTTTTGCTGAGAGCATAATTGCCCCCCCAGGTCATTCTGCATTTCCCTCAATTGACAAACTTTTTTGTCAATTGAGATTTGCAACATCTAGTTGTAAACTTGTCATTATTGAGTGGAGTTTGGTAGTAAAGTAAAGCAGCTGAGAAAAGACTAAAGTTTTCCGTCAGGGAGACACATTAAAAAAAAAGATCAGCCTGTCAAGTGAACGTGTGAGAAATTCCCTCACATTCATGTCAGACTCATCAGCCTGCTGACACTGATATAACATGTTTTTAAAGTGTGTGTGATCAGACAGTATTTTTCACATCAAACTTTGTGCCACTGCAAAGCTTGTCGTGTGCGTAAACCAAGTCGAATACCTTTGGCCAAGTGCGTCAGGGAACATGATCATCTTTCAAGCCGATGTCTTACTTCTTGATCATTTTAAAGTTCCGTTTTTCTCAGCGCAATTTTGTGTAATGCAATTATTTTAACACCTTTTTTTCTAAATTGTATTTTTCCTAAATTGTATTTACCAATAACAGAACAGCAATTCCTGTAATAATGAACAAAAACATATTAAAAAGTTAAAAACAAGTTTAAGTAAAATCAAACATCAGTGTGACCATGTAAGTAAAGAGATCCACTGACTTTAAGTTAATATTAAAACCATGTTTGGAGTGTTTCACTGTCGACACTACAGGGCTGAAAACTTCACCAAAATTATGTCGCTTTTTTCTTTTTCAATCTAAAGTAACACGTTTTTTTCGGGTTGCTCCTAAAGATCAAATATCACATTTTTGTTACATATTTTGAGCTAAAGGCTGGGAGACTAAAGCCGAGAAAAAGTTAGTATAAGACCATTAAAAGAGTTAAAACCATATCCAGAATGAAAAAAACGCACCAGCTATTCGTTTTTAAACGAAATATTTGGAACAACAAAATGTTTCAAACGCACAAAGACGTCAACGATAAAGAGGGACTTTGATTTAATCAAAAACGTTAACAAATTAATTTAAAAGATACTGTTTCCATTAAGAACCGGTCCAATGAAACAAAAAGATCTTAATTTGTCGGGAAACGGAACTTTTTTAGAGGAAACTTTACGCGTCGTCCGGATAACAGGCCGCGTAATAGAGTTATAGGGAACAAAGTTTAGCGTCCCTTCGCGCTACAGGAGGTACAGTAAAGTGTAATCTCGCGCGCGTGTATGTGTGTGTGTGTGTGTGTGTGTGTGTGAGAGAGAGAGAGAGAGAGAGAGAGAGAGAGAGAGAGAGAGAGAGAGAGAGATGTGTTCAGGGATGGTTTATATAGCTGTGGGTGTGAGCACAGACTAGTCAGTTCATGAAGACTCTAGCGCTGTGCGCAGCTCAAGTTGAAGGCTACTGCTCATCACGCCACTTCAGGGAAAGATAAAACTGCATTTTTAAAAGAAAAGTAATGACTTATACAAACGCATGAAGTCTGTTTTCCACACGGTTACACCAGCATAACCTTAGCTCTCCGCGACAATCCAAAAGTTCAGCGAAGATAGCGCACGGCGCACAGGGACAGATCATGCACTGTCAAGCCGAGCTGAGGCTCTCATCCCCCGGCCAGCTGAAGGCTGCCAGGCGGCGCTACAAGACTTTTATGATTGACGAGATCCTCTCGAAGGAGACCTGTGATTACTTTGAGAAACTTTCTCTTTACTCCGTGTGTCCATCGCTCGTTGTGCGACCAAAGCCTCTTCATTCATGTTCAGGTAAGAGAACTCTTGTTTTGTTTAATTTCATTCATATACAAAGTAAAAAAAAAATAATACAGAGGAATAAAGCTGAAAAGACATACTTGTTTCCTCAAGCATTAATTGTAATTTTGTTTGTTAAATTGTGTTTGAGTGAGGAAAAGATGCATGGTTGACATTTTTACGCATGAGATAAATTTGATGGTGTTTTTAAAATTTGTATTCAAATGAAAAAAAATGCATGATCACAAATTGTGGATTTAAAAAGTAGGGGAAAAAAGTTAGTATCTGACATCGTGCAGGTAAGCGTTGTGCAGGTGTCTAATTTTGAAATGAAATTCAAAATAAGTTCTCAGAATAAATGTCACATTTAATTTTTAATGTTAACATTATTTATCCACCTGCAAACTGAGCATTTATAAACATTTGCATTTAATGTTAAAGTTTTGGGCTGTTTTTATTATTTATTTTCCCCAACCAGTATAAAAATCATGGTTAATCTATACACTCTTCACCTGTCCACCCTGAGTTTAACAGCATAAATCACTGCTGTGCATTTAGTGCTGAAAATCACAGACATGAGTTAGAGGGAGTAAATGTCAGTGACGCTTCAGGGCTGTTTCTGGGATCAAACTGATGAATGACTGAGCTGAGACGTTGGTAAACATAAAAAAGAGCCTGTTTGGCAGGTAATAAAATTCAGAGTCTTACTCAGGAAGCCTGCGGTTTCCTACCTGCTTCCTCTGAAACTTGTTTATTGCAATTAACACAGTAATTGTGCTTATGAAGGCCTTCTGCGGTTAGTTCTGCTGCTGTTGGAAATTTGCAGCTGGAGGATTTTATTATGTAAGTTTGTCTGATTTGACAAAATGTATGTAGAGTACGTTTGTGTGTAAAAAAATAATGTCAAATCACCTCATGGGTGATCATTTAGACTGTGCAATGTCTATTATATTTTAATATTAGGAGGTGCTTTCTTTTCTTTTACTGTCAAAGTTTCAAAACAAGCTGTACTAGATAGATAGATAGATAGATAGATAGATAGATAGATGTTCTCTGTTCTTTTTTCTGACATATTACAGCTGGGAATTTACCAAAATAGTGAGACAGAGGAAAAAGTTCAGTCCTCATATGCTAAAATGTAAAAACACAAAAAGACTAACTGTAATTCTTGATGAACCCAAACAGCTCACAGGCTACTGCATCCTCTAGTAACCATTAGGATAATTACTCCAAAGTCTGAAATAATAGCTCCTGCAATCTGATGATGACAGCGGCCACTGGTTAAAAATAGGTGCAGCGATTCCCTCATCCCTCTGATATAAATTGGTATATGCTAGAGGGCACTATGACTGGCACCCCTCTGTTCGGGTGGATAGAGTAACCCACACTGCATATCCAAACACTTTGCCCACCACTTATTTGTAGCGGCAGGGGTGTGAGACACAGTATATTCCCCAACATCAATGGCTTTTTGAGCTGGATATAGAAACTGGCAGCCTTACAGGTCCTGGGCCAAAGAGAGGCGGCTGGCCCCCTCGTGGCCCCTGAACAGTGGAAGTTGACTTCTTCATTCTCCAAAGGAAAGGGTGCTATAACCTGCTTCTGCCAGTGGAGGCCGCTGACAGACAGTAGTGCCACCAACAGCGCCTGAGGGAGTTATAACCAATTAATTGCTGTGTTTTTATTGTTTACCACTGGTATGCAGCTCAAACATGCCAACATAATCATCCTCTTTTGTCCTATCCTTCTTGAAAACATCACTCCAGTTTTGTGACTCTGCAAAGAAATACATCTGAGGAGTAGAAGTGGCTAATCATGGTGTTAATTCCCGGTCATTTGCTGCAGGATCAGAGGCAGTGATACCTGAGCGAGGAGTGATTGTAATGGAAGGTTACAATATTTCATTTAGAGTCCCATCTTTCAGCAGGATCCAGGGCAGGGCTTTTAGTGGTGTTTTCCAGAAGAGGTGAGAGAGATTAAGATCAACTGTGGTGTAATCTCACCTGACAGATGATGAAAAATACAAACAACAAAAAAAAAATAAAGTAGGAGTGTGTACAGCCGGGGGGCCACTGCGCTCTGATTTGGTCCTTGGGCGAGGGTTTATCGATGAAATCCAAGTGAGCAAAAGAGTTTTCATTCCATCTTAATTCCTAATCCGCTCCAGACAATAAAGTCTCCCATTAAGTATAAAGCAGGCCTGAGAAGGTCGATTACTCCCAAGTCAACACACATGGGCAAGTATGCACAAACGCTTTCCTTCTTCAGTTGAGGATAATGCTTGACAACCTGTCATCTCCTCGTCATTCCCCGCACAGCCACTTCCATCAAATTTTTCTATTTTGACTAAGGATCAGTCATAAACCAGTTCTTAAATACTTAATGCTACACTCAGATTTCAGCTGTCACAGGAAGAGTTGGGAGGATCAGGTTTCAGATTAAACAGTTAACACTTTGTTTAATGTAATGCCTTTTGCACTTCGCCTCAAGTGTACAACGTCAGTTTGGGAAGTTTATCCATATGCCTGGGAAAGAAAAGAGCTCATGATGAATGATGCTGTTGGCACCATCTTATTCCGACAATTAGAAAGAAGTTGTTGCAATCAGTCTAATAATCAAATGAGTTTGGACAGAACAAGAAGCTGCACGGCCTGTTGCCCTTCCCAACCCTGACACGGTTTGATTTGCCTGAAAAGGGCAAGCCCAACAGAAACACTGTTAAATGGAGAAACTCTTAAGCTGTCAACAGACAGTTTATATCCAAAACAAGACAAAAGTGCACACTCACTTGTCATTGTCAAGCAATGAATCATCCATCTGAGCACCCCATTGACAAAAAAAGAATCGAAAAAGAAGTGTAGATGTGGCGATAAGGAGTGAGCATTCAAGGAAAAAGAAGCTGCATGCATTAAATAGACAGTATAATAACTACAAATCAAATCATTATTGATGCAATTAATGATAATAATTTTAAAAATAGTGCATGTAATGACGTCTGCATGATTATTTTAGATCAAATGTCTCCTCTTGCTCTATTCTTAGAGGGTTTTCCTTCTGTAATGGTTACCATAAGCACTTGTGCAAGTCCCCACATTCCCACTGTGATTATCAAGAGTATCAGTGTGCTTTTGCACGCGGCTGGGTTGCGCTCTCGCAGCTTCTCAAACAGTTTATTTGTAGACTATTGACAGGTCACTGGCACTTGTCAACAACATGTCATTGAGACAGCTTCACTGTCAGTGGAAAATCTGCACGAGGGCTGACATCTCTCTCTCTCTCTCTCTTCTTTGTCTTCCCTCCGAGGGACTGTCCGGAGACAACTTCAAGCTCTTTGTTGACAAGGGGCTTCCTGACTATCAAGAAGACAAAACAAGAATTTTTTGTTTTCCCCCATTCAGCATGACACCAGTGATGCTTACTTTCCCTCCAGGACCATTCCTCTAAATCCAAAGTTGAGAAATGTGCATGCAAAATTCTTTCAGTTACAACATAAAACCAAATAATTCATTATTACAAGACAGATTTTACAGATCTGATAAAGAAGGAGAGCTAATGAAATGAAAAGGTATAAATGGAGAGCTTGTAGCCAGAGAGAGGGAAAAAAAAGAGGGTCTTCTTGTCTAGACCTGTTGCAATAGCAGCGATCTCACGTTGGAGGATTAGTGATGACCTCAGTGCCTCAGCATGATGTCATGATGAGCCCAAGGCAGTGTCTGCTCTGTGTGTGTGTGTGGATCAGTCTGTGTGTGCAGAGCACCAGTCCCTATCTGTTCTTGTACTTGTGCTCTTGTACCTAAGCCCCTTAAACGCTTGACTTACATCTAATTGTGCGGTTTATAGTGGATTCGTGCACCTTTTAGATCTGAATTCGTGTCGCACCTCGCTGGAAAACTAGTAGAAAAGGTCAACGTTGTCCTGGAATATCGCTGCAATTTAATCCGACAACCTTATAAGAGTTAAAGAAAATTAAAAGTTCTAAAACTCAACAGTCAAGAGTAGAGTTTGTATCTCCTGACAGCATTTGTGTTTGCAGAGTGTCTGTTGAGGTTGAAGATGACATTAAGAGGGTAGATCTACCACAGACAACCGGGACATGTGCTGTGTCTGATACTGTATGACAGCTTCCTATTTTCTCTGCTCTACTGCAGCCTTTTATTCCCTTCTGTATCTCCCACCTCTGCTCCTGGAAACCCCCCTGTGTCCTTTCTGCTGCTCTTTATCAGCCTACCCTGCATCAGCCAAGGTATTACAGCCCGTGCCGTGCTCAGTTGGCTTGTAAATATGGGTTAAGGGATTGGTTTTTATATTTGAAGCCGAAAGGATTTTTCTGGCAGATATCATATTCACTTTGGTTGACCCACCGAATCCTCTTGGCCAACCTCGGCTCCAGACAAGTGTTACTCTTTATCGATTCTGGCGTCTTGCTGCTTCTGTCTGCTCTGCTGAAGAGAGAGAGAGAGATAAGGTTCGTGTATTACTGCGTACATGAGCAAGAGAGAGGGAGAGATTGTAAGAGAGGGAGAAGAGAGTCGTAGCAGAACGGTGTCTGATTTAGTTTTTTTTTTTTTTAAGGATTTTATTGCAGCCTCTTCTGTCTCTGGGTGCACATGTGCATGTACATCATACTGTCAGACTCAGTGTGTGAATCTGCTTGGGAGCAAGTTAGTGTCCAACAACCTCTAAAAAAATAATCATTCATTTGAAAGGTTCTGGGGAGCGGTGTAAAACACAGTCTGCGTCATTGGGATCACAGCCCTCTACATGGAGGAGGTCAAAAGTAAAACACTTTTCACAGCAAACACAGGGCAATTAAAACTAAACCTGTCTAAGCAATTACAGGCGGTCGATACTGCTACAACCACCATGACTGAGAGGCACATAAGAGCTCACTAAAACTCTGCATGATTCAAAGGATATCTTCTCTTTCCTTTTGTTTTTTCTTTTTTTTTTTTTGCACCAGACTTTATTGCGTTTCTCTTTTCCTCTCATCTGACGCACTGTCTCTTCCACTTTCAGGCTCCTCATCACTGCGTGCCTACCCTCTCCTCTCAGTTATCACGCGGCAGCCCCCCCACATCCCCCAGGTATCCTCTCCGGGAGGGGTCCCCTCGCATCTGCCGTTGCTCTCCCCGCAGCACCCGCGAGGATCCGAGCCCTCTCCAAGCCAGACGCCCCTCAGCATCAGCAGCGAGTCGGAAACAGAGCACAGCGCGTCCCGGCTGAAGAAGCCACGCCGCAGCCGCACCATCTTCACCGAGCTGCAGCTGATGGGCCTGGAGAAGAAGTTCCAGAAGCAGAAGTACCTGTCCACACCTGATAGGTCAGTGCAGTTCATACAGCCACACCTGGTTTGATAGGTTAGGGTGGAGAATAGTTGCAGTTTGAGTTTGCTGCCAAAGAAGAGCATATAAAAAAATCATGTCTACACAAAACTCAGAGCTACCTGAAATGATTTTTGTGACAAATGTTACAACAATGAAAGCAAACCACTTATGTCTTAGAGCTAACTAACACCACAGTTATTAAATTACAGCTTTTAAGAAGACTCATAAAAGTGCCACTCAACTGTGACATTTTGATAACCCGCGTATCTGGCGTAGAGCGCAATAGGAGAGTACAGTGTATGCATTGAAATTCACGCATGCACGCACATTCACAAAGCCGCAAGTGCAATTATCAGGCAGTGGTTAACCCAGCATCATAATGTTTGATTTATCCTGTGGGGAATGTATCATGTAATGTGAATTTGCTGAAGCCAGAGCATTACCTCAGAATTCTAGTTGGGACAGGAGTAACGTTTTTAACCCTGAGCTCCCCAACAGCAAAATGCCCCAACAAAGAAACCCTGTCTGAGTCAAGAAAACAGGGACGGCAGCCAACGCAAGCAAACAGAAATGTATTACAGTGATTTACTGCCAATCATTTCACACATGTGCAGGTGTATAAAAAGAGAACATAGCTTCCCTACAATGAGATGAAGTAATCCAAATGTTAATATCTGTGTCTTGGTCTCCATTCTGCGGGTCAATTTTGGGACCTGACATGAGGTTAGACTATATTTTCCACTTTTATTGTACGCTTTGCTTGAATTTTTTGGCCTAAAGGCTTCCTTTCCATCATAACCGAGAATAAAATTCAATCATATATGTTGTAAAAAAGCTTTGCTCAGATTCTGAAACTACCCCTGAACTTCTGCGTCAAGTAGAGAGTGGTTAGCGTTCACTCCAACCCTTCTTACTCATCTATTTCTTTTCATATATGTGCATACTGAAGGTAAAACAGAGGTGATTAAAGGACTTGTTACTGGGTGTTTCCTTGCATTAAAAAATGCACAAAGTGGATTTTTTTCTCAAACTTTGCACCCTCTTCACTATGTATCTGCTTACCACATCTGATCTGAAACGACTTAAGCATATCTAGAAATTAACCCGATTTTTTTTTGTCATCCCATTTACATCTCAACTGTAGGGAAAACTCCCACGATGCATAATTAAATACATCACATCTTGGCTTGCCCGGAGCTGCTGGAAAGGCACCGTGCCTCTTCTCAAAGCTGAAGCCCCGAGGCTGATCACAACTCAGTGATCAAAACCAACCACCCTTAAAGACTGCGGTGCCAAAATACTGTGTCCTGTCAAAATATCCGATCCTGACACCGTGTTGAAAATTAATTAAATACCCAGCTGGCGGAAAAACGTCAACAGAGAAAATCCCCCTTTAAAGCCCCACATCAAAAGTGCGGCGTGCTCCCCACTTTGACTTGTTGTGATCCAAAGATAACTTCACATTTCTCCCCCTTTCCTTCTCTTGGCTTGGGAACTTTGCGGTTTTGTATAAAGACTGCGAATGTGGGCGTGAGGAACGGAAACCAAAATTATCCCTGAAAAATACTTTAGATTATTTATATCAGACAGAAATCATGAATTAGCCAGCTTCCAGTTTTAACAATTAGTGCCTTTGTAAGCCTGACTGTCATCAGCATCATTATCATTACTTAAAGGTTTCCAGTTACGCCCAAGATTTCCTTCTCAAAGGTGTGAGAACAGAACAAAATGGTGGTTTTGCAGTCGCCTGGAGGGAGGAACTGAAATAGTGTCTCTATCGCTGTTCGTGTGTGGTTCCTCTTCATTGAGAACTAATGACCATAAACAAGAGGGGTGTTTTCCTTTTGCTGCAATTATTTCCCGTTGCCTGCAGATGTTAAGCTGCTGTAGACTGATGGTGAGGTTTGTCAAATTGAACGTGTGTCTGGTGTTTTTTTTTTTTTTTCTCTCTCTCTCTCTTAAGCGCTTACACATATGCACACACAAAAGCCATGCATGCTCTTTAATGTAAGGCATAGGACTTCGGATAGAAGCTTAAGGGATTTGTTGGTGCTCTGCTTTTTAGATTCTGCTCACATCATCTCTGTCTGGGCTTCTACTTCCACCATCAAATGAAAGTCAGTTCCTTCCACTGGGGGCTGGTGGGGGTGTGATTCCCTTCATCTACCAAATAAAGACTTGGAGAAGAAAAAAAGGAAGGAGGAAATCTAATTTAAAATACCAGATAAACACTCTTGTGGATGCCGTGTTCGCTTTATCTATCCCTTCCTGAGGTTTCGCGTTACACACAAACTGATTGGCCGATTAGTCACAGATCAACACATGTGGTGGATGCATTCAGAATTTTCTCCGACAGCCCCAATTGTACATCTCCGAGGACTGTGATTGGATTACTAATGTCGGTGCGGATGTTAAAAGCAGGGTTTCCTGAGCTGCAGGTGCACAGTGTCAAACTGAAACGACCAGCAAGTCAGCTTTGATGTGAGACTCAAAGAAAGAATCAAAGGATCTCTTACTGTAAGGATGCGACGCTCACTACTGCGAACACTTGACATTGACGGTTCGAGCTGATCTTCACTCATTTTACATGCTTTGATTTAAGGGGATGTTGATGTTGCTTGACAGCAGCTACACCGACAAGACCGCCTGCAGTGTCTGCAGACAAGCCTTGTTCTGTTTTTCATTTAGCCTTATGAGCTCGGATATCGTCTGACAATTATTAAAAAAGTGCAAAAAATCAGCCTGATTAATTGGTCTGATTGGATTAAGTTGACAAGTTTTGTATGTACTGCTGATGAAACTGCAGTAAATATTGAAAAATGTCTCATTAAATTAGTTAAAAAAAAATAGCAGGGTAGAAACTTAACTAGATGGGCAAAAACAGGTGTAGACTTGACAGTGCAGGATGTTCTTGATATGTCCATAGAATAAATAAGGAAGCAATAATGAATAACACTGAGGTGAAGTGGTGATTAATGTTTTGGTGTCTACCTAGAGGCTACAAACCAAAATTAGCGTCAGAGTTTCCCATTGTGCTTAAAAAGTGATGATGCACATTTTTACAGCATGTCAACACTAATTTTGATTTACCATCCACCTTTTGTTACTCATGCAGAAAGTACGTGAGAAAAAAAAAACTCAAGCATCTAACGCTTAGGCTGTTTTTGTGTGTGTTTGTGATTTTGCAGGTTAGACCTGGCCCAGTCACTCGGTCTCACACAGCTCCAGGTGAAGACGTGGTACCAGAACAGGCGCATGAAGTGGAAGAAAATGGTAAGAGACAGAACTAAAGAAAAGCCCAGCAGGTTAAGAGATAATGTTATTTTTGATTAAAAAGAAAAAGAAAAGAACAGGTGGTGTGGGGAGGATAATTTCTCAGGTCATGACTCCTGTCCTCCCCGGAAGTGACTTTCTTCTCACCTGAAAGTGTGGCTTACACTCAACAGTTAAAACTAACACTTACCTGCACCACTAAATAGAGAAGTTAATAGTAAGTAGTAATTTGTTGACAGGAAGACAAGGTGTGGTTTGAGGTGTGTCTGATAATGACAGCAGTCAGTGCAAACACTTTTGCAGGGTCAACAACTCGGAGAACAAAAACAGAGCTGGCATTTTTGATGACAAATGCGCGCACAGCCAGCAGCAATATGTCTTCTCTTAATGACTATAATAGCAAGCTCTGCCTCTGACTGCTGCTGCTGCTGCCATTTATTATCCTAAGATTATCCTAAGATTGTCTGTGTGTTATACTAGGTGCTCAAAGGAGGTCATGAGGCCCCGACGAAGCCCAAGGGAAGACCCAAGAAGAACTCCATCCCCACTACAGAGGAAATCGAGGCAGAAGAACGAAGACTGAAGTTGGAGGAGGAAGAGAGGATGAGGAGGGCAGAAGAGAAAGCAGGGCTGGCTCACAGAGAAGAGGCAGCCCAGCTTGAACCTCAAGATCTTAGTACAGACACACACAATCCAGCAGCAGCAACGGAGAGATCTGAGCGTGAGCAGCCGGTTCTGATGCAGTCAGATACTCACACAGCCAGCTAAGCAAGAACAAAGTAACCAAAGACTTTTGCCAACCTGAAAACAAATAGTGCCTCAGGATCACTGTAAAAAAAAAAAAAAAAGCCTGTGTGCTGTTCAAAGCCATTTGCTTTAGGAGTTCGACTGGAGACATATTGATGAATCTATACCTGATGTAGCCTTTTCTATTTTTGTGCATTTGCAAATGTACCATACAAAGAGCTAGTATGTATAGACACTGATTGTGCTGGTGGTGAAATGTGGCCTTTGTTTGAGCAGGTCCCTCGTAGGGGGAGTGCTAATCTGTTTAATCCAAGCAGGTCTTTTAAAACTCAACACGAGTCATGTATCGCCTTTTTGTGCATTACGACCTTTAAAGATCACAATCCTCGAAGCTGCCTCACATAATGCACGTGCCAAAATATCAAGATATGCCTTATTGTGGTGTCTTTACATATCAACTTATTATAAATCACTTCACTACCAAAAAAATAAATAAAACAGGACATTCAGTGGCTGCAGCCTGCCTCAGAGGAAAGCTTTTTTAAGTGTTGACAAATTATCTATTCAATCCAAGTATATATTTTGCAGTGATTTTCTATTAAAAGTTCCCTTCTTGAAGCGAAACAACCTTCTCTCTTTAGACTCAGCACAGCTTCTTACCACAAATGTGTTCATTATTTGGTTAGTAAAGCTTTCATTTTCACTTTTCAATCCAAAAACCAATATTTCTGCCAAGCCATACACTGTATCATACTGTAGAAATGTGTATAAAGTATAAAATATATGGTTTTTGGATCTATCTGAAACAGTATTTTTAACTGCTGTTTTAAATTGGTTTTAAATATTTGTACGTACGATGTAACTGCCGTCCCTGATTTTTTCGTCTTTCTTTGGAGTGAGTTTGACTGTTCTTTCTGCCATGAGGCCACTAAGACCCTAAGCTGTCAGAGATTCTCAGAGGGAATAAATCTTAGCTTGTGCCAAGGTGCACAGCGAACGCGGAACATCTAAAATCTCAAAAACGTTTCCAGCCTGCAGGCTTTGCATGAGTGCCCCAATCAGTGTGTGAGACGCCTGTCAACTGCCTGTCACTGACTTCTCCATACACTCCTAGCTTTACCTTCTTCCTTCACAGGTAATGTAATTAAAGAGTTATACTTTTTTGAAATATGCAGATTTATTTTTATTTGTTCTTGTCTCATAAGAAAAAGTGCAGTATTTTTACGATGTAAATAATATTTGGTAAGCTTGTTTGCAGTTTTTTTTAGGTTTATGTACAATCATTTTTAATATTTACAAGTGTGTGTTTATGTATTTAAATACACTTAATAAAACAGAAGCCATTAAAATTCCTCATGACGTTTCTTTATATTTTGTCAACATCTTTTTTTAATTATTCTGTATTCTCTAAAAATCCCTGGACTATAATTTAAGCCTCATCTGCTGAATGACACACTCCTATGCTGTTTATGCAACCAGAAATTCGACACATTATTTCTGCATGCTTTTCTCTAATGAACAGAGTCCAACAACAAATTACAGGATCTATTTTCAAGACTTTAAGTGATTCTAAGATGTAACGCCACGTCATGTTGAGTGTGTGTAAATCAAACAGTTAGTCTACAGTAGCTGTGGTGGGCTGAAGTTCAGGCAGATCCATTACTGAGGAAGCTTTTGAAGATGTATTAGGTGTAGTCAAAGTTCACCATAAATCACAGTTGAGTGAACAAAGCATTTAAGCGCCGTGTTGTGACATTTATCATCTTTATCTGTACAGCAAAGGAGATGGCCTGTCGTGCCCCTGAGGGCTCCTCTGTGACCCAGAGTAAGCGAGGAACAGTCTAAAGTGTATTTTTAGTGCCTGATACCGGACATGGATGGTTTCTAAAGCAAACAGCATAAGTTAGCATTGAGTAATGCATACTGTGTTTCAACACCTTGTGTAAACATTCAAAGTATGTTTCGTGTGCATTCAACAGGAGAGCCCCCCACTCCTCATGGAAGTATGACTGAACATATGTTTTCTTTTTTTTGTTTGTTTCAGTTCAAACACAATTCAAAGAAGTTTGTAATTTCAAGTGTCAAACTCACTGATCTGAGCTTTTCTACGGTGTTGTCCTTTTTCTGCACCAAATTCTTTTATTGAACTTTTTTTAAAAATTCTTAAACAAAAACCCTCAGTATTGATTATTGGAGTTAATGGTCAAGTTCAAAAATTTTTTAACTTTTTTACATTCATGTTTCAGCTAAAGTTAGCAGCATTTTTTATGAGTATAAACAACAAGTAAGAAAATAAAACCGTGTTTTGTTTTGGTTGCATTTTGGAAGTCCAAGAATGCTTGTCAGGATGGCACACCTGCATGATAAAAGCAGAAATGACTTCTTCCATGAGGTGATGAATTTCACCGTTTGTGCATGTTATGTTCTCTTGCACAAAAGCTGATTATCTTTCCAGTACAAGTTATTCACCTTTGCAAAAGCAGCAGTGGTCTTGACTCCATTTGACATTCTTTCCAATTAAATGACATTATTTGCAAGTAATTTGCTTTCTGATTGCACAAATACTAATTCTAATATATTTTATGAGTCTTACATTTGGACAGGTATTTTGTTTGTAACCAAAGCACCCTCTTCTGGGTAGAGTTGGGGGTGCATCCCATTTTGTGTTGATTTGTTATCAGCTCAGCCATATTACCTAAAACAAAGTTAGTTTTTCTTGGTGAAAACTGTTATATAAGAAAGTTTTTTTTTTCAAAAAAAACTTCTGAATTTAACATCAAATACATTTGTGACATGAATTTCTTTGGTGTAATTGCTGCTAACCTTGTGCTTTTCTGGCAGATATCTACAACATCAGTCTCTGTGGTGCAGCAACACTAACCCACTATTAGTTTAATTATTGCCCTCTGTGTCTGAACACTTCATTTAGCTTATTGCAACAATGGAAGAAGCCCAATACATTTTTATTGTGATCACTATAAAAGCACGATGGAGTCCATCACTTATGGCAAAAGGAAAGCACACCACCATCTCTTGAATGATTTATCTTCTGCAAAAAGAAAATAACTTGTTGGCCCAAGATAGAAATGACAACATTTGTGAGTCTTTCCTAAGAACCAGGAAAAGAGTTAATAAATACGTCATTTCAAAGAAAAATCTACTGAAACTACTTGATGCTGTTTTTACTCCTGATGTCAGTCAGCTCTGTCACTGAACTAATTATGAATGATTTGTAAAATGAAAGTGTGTGAATGATTCATGCACATGCACAATGCACTGCCTTACAGCTATCATCACCTGAATTGTTCCCCTTTTTAATTGTCTCCGTTGTCACAAACTGTACCCAGCTATTACTGTTGACTTCTTGGCATGAGGGAGACACAAAACAAAACACATTCATGGTTATATAAATGTATACCTGCAACTTTCTGTGCAATCAAAAGGCCTTGTTTTGAGTACAATGAACTTTGATTATTAAAAACTGGCCTTACTGCTTGTCAGGTTTTTAAAGCCTGTCAGCTTTGTCACTTGCTTGAATGAGGCCTATCAAAAAACTCTGGAGCTGACACTGTATATCTTCATTAATTGCAGGTGATGAGCGGTGACATTTCCCCGCTAGATACCCCTGTGAAAATAAAGGCAGTCGCTGCCAGGCAGGGAGGCGAGGATTCACGCTTTGCATGTCTCCACAGGCTGCCGAGTTCCTCTGGGCTAATTGTGTGGCGAGATGAGACACCGGAGGCCTAATTGGAGAACCTGTTATTTTCTCACAGGTCCAAGTTCAGTTGCAGGTCACAGGAGTGGAGTGGTGTCAACCCCAGCTGGCCCCTTCCCTTCCACTCACTAAGACATCCATCGCACACCTTCAGCTGTCAGCTTAGCGTACGCTCAGGTAGTTAGCGGGGGGGAGTGGGCGTAGCTTTCGGTGTTTCGCCCTCATTTGTGTCAAGACAGAGGAAGTTATCTCTAAATGTTGAGGGCAGGAGCAACAGCAGGGCTTACCTAGGTCAATATAGGCGGATGCTTTTGACAACACGCACAATGCTCTCCATTGTCCTTCGGAAGAGTTGGAGAGAAGCAGTCATCATTGGCAACGGCAGGAGGATCACCTCCTAACAGCGCGGTGTGTGTACAACACGAGGCTGACTTTAGCTGTTGTTCAGAGGATATTGAGCAAGACGTGACTTAAAACTCTGATTGCAGAGTGGAATTCTTTTAAGCAATGTCATAAATTGTTCCATAATGAAAAATCAAGCTTTTTTTTTTCTTTAACTCAATGAATGAAGCTTTTCTTTTACAACTACCACACACATTGAACCATTCTTAAGGCAGGTATTGGAACTTGCAAGATTTATGTTTGTTCAAGACTCTTTTATAAATAAAGCTGAACTTTCCTTACTACCTGTTGCCATGACAATCTGTCATCATCAAATAAGACAATGTAATTCAATTTCAAGAAAGCTAAATTGAAGTTACATAGCCACACATCTAACCGGGTACTCACACCAAGCACGATCATCTACTTGCTTAATTTGCGCAAATGTCTCGTATTAACTTGCTTCATTCGTGCGTCAACAGTAATTTCAACAGTAATCCCTGCCAATTCAACCAGCAGAGTCAAGTGGTAGACGAAGGTTTTTTACAATTTACCAGGCAATCTGAGCTCCTGTTTATCCCGGTTTCGGTAACTGAAAGAAAAAGTATCACATAATTCAGTGCACCCCGTACACCGACACGTTCAGTTTGTCCTCCATTTTAGATACCAGTGAACAACCATCCGTTTTCATATGTCACCCGGCAACCTTTGTGCTGATTAAGTTATTGCTCACGCCCAATTCACGTCATTCGCGCCACCAGAGTCGTAAGAGTGTCTGATTGCGTCTTCGCATTGACTTCACATGTACTTCATTTGTGCGAATGATTTTACTCTTGCTTGGTGTATGGAGACAGTATGGCTTACCAATCACTCTCAAATAAAAATCTACATAAGGTTTTATAGTACTGGTGTTAATCTATTAGCA